TAGTTTTTCTTCTCCCAGCTGCTTGTTTTTTGATTTGTCCTATGTTTTGGGACACTGTGTCACTGGTATTGGCTGGCATCTCTTTGGTGAGCTCCTTCTGGGATGTTGGAAACTCTGACAGTTTTGGTGAGGACGTGAACCTCCCTGTCTTAAAGATGGTGCATGTGGGGGATGCTCCCCTGCACACACCGTCTGCCCAGGTGGTGGCTGGGTCCCCCTATGGGCTCTGTCTCATGGAAGTTGTAGGACCATGCTCCTGCAGGGTTTCATCTCACCTCTGATTGTGGGGACAGCACTTTCTCAGTTACACACTTTTGGTGAAGTCCGGAACAGACCCTCCCTGTCTCAAGATGGTGCTTCTAGGGGTCCAAAGTGTTACTTATTTTTTAATTTTTGGAAGAGTTTGAGAAGGATAGGTATTAGTTCATCTGTTTTCTTTCTTTAAGTAAATAGAACCAATACTACTGTAATTCATATGGAAGCACAAACTACCCTTATAAATCAAAGCTCTTCTGAAAAGGGAAAAAAAATGGAGGCATCACACTTCCAGACTTCAAACTATACTATAAAGCAAAAATAACTTTTAAAAGCATTGTACTGGAAAACACACACAACAACAACTGGACTGTCACATGCAGATTTATCTCCAGCATTAAGGAAAGCAAAGGAGAATATAAGTAACCTGGACTACAAACTAAAAACCTTCTCTACAGTTACAAAGTCAGTAACCAAAATGAAGAGACACCCTACAGAATTGGAGAAATATTTGCACACCATACATCAGACAATGGAGATTTTGAAGATCTATAAAGAGTTTCTACAACTCAACAACAAGAAAAACCAGAAAAAAATCAATAAAGGGGCAGAATATCTATATAGGCATTTCTCCAGAGACAACTTACAGATGGCCAAAAGGTATAAGAAGCATACTCATCATCACCTATAATCAAGGAAATGCAAAACAAATCCACAATGAGTTACCACCTCATACCCATGAGAATGGTCCATATTAAAATAATAGAAACCATAAGTCTTGGTTAGGGGTGTGGTAAAAAAGGGAACCCTCTTTCACTGTTGGTAGGAATATAGACTGCTCAAGGCCCTATGGAGGAAGTGTGGAATTTCCTCAAAAGTCTAAAAATGGATCTCCCATAAGACCCAGCAATGCATTTTCTAGCTCTCTACCCAGAAAACACAAAAACACTAATTCAAAAGCAAACCTGCACTCCCATTTTCATAGAAGCTCTATTTACCATAGTGAAGATATGCTAACAACCTAAATGCCTCTGAACAGATGAGTGTATTAAAAAAAATAGGTATATATTCACAATGGAATACTACTCAGCAATCAAAAAGGTAAACTCATGCCATTTGCACCAACATATATGGATCTGGAAGGGATTTTCCTAAGTGAAATAAGCCAGAAGGAGAATGATAAATACCAATGGTTTCACGTATGTATGGAATATAGAGATATCAAACATAGGATTATAAAACATAAACCTTAAAATTGACCCTTGAAAGCTGACATTAGATCTGAGGCATCCAGGGGGGGAGGGGGAGGTAGAGGAGATGGGAAAAAGTGGGGGGAACAATGGACTATGGTGGAGTATTACTGGTGTTTTGGTGGTGGGAAAACTATGGTGACTACATCTGAGTGGAGAATCCTATATTGTGAAAACATTAACATGGATGCAAAATAATGGTACTTCATTCGTGTGTGTGTGAAAACATATATAAAGAAAATCAATAAATTCAGATTTTTACCAGACTTAAAAAATGTGAGTTAAAAGCAGCATAATTAAAAAATGATTGGAAATACTTCATTGTCAATTCCATTTTTCACTAGTGTCAGGATTTTGACATGTAGGGCCCACTCCCATGTAGCCATCTTTGATTACATAAACTAAAATTCCTGAGCAGGGTACATACTGGGAACTAGAGGCGGAGATGAATGGATATAACACTAAAAGCAGGTGGGCTATGCAGCTTGCTTCCGGGACTTGGCCTTGGAAGGAGACATATGGAGGAGACACATGTAGACATGCTTGGAATAGACTGGTGGGTTTCAGACACATGGTGAGACTGTCCTTGGCAGAGAGAATGGCAGATACCATCTTGATTTGTATTTTTGCATCTCTCCTGTTCATGTTGCCTGGCCCCTTTTTTGTGTTTCTTTGCTGGAGGGATGGAGGGTGTCTTGCATTTGTGGCAAACTTATGGACCTCAGTGGCCTTGCTTCAGGTAGAGCCTATTTGGGTATTTCATGAGGGGATGGGTAATTTTGGGGGGGGTCACTGGGAAACTTGTTAGGAATGTCCTTTATTCTCTTCCTTCTCTGTGCACATTAATGCTATTAAAGATTTTTTTACATTAAGAGTTTTATGCTTCCTTAGCCTTTGTATGTTAGATGACTTAACCCCTTTAAAACATGCAACCTTTAACAATTTGAGGTTCCTGGGTGCACCTTGGTTGCACTTGAACAGATATAATACCATCATTTAAAAAATATATTGTAGAAATAACAGTTCATTTATACTGGGGTGATTTAATAATGTGCTAGTTTTAACATTAATGCATATATACCATTGTGGACAACTATGTTGTCTATTATGGAATATCCCATCAGAGTCATATTCATTCTTCATTAAGTAAAATCAATTAAAGATGATACAAATGTAGTTTGGAATTCAACCGAATTTCCACGTGTGCAATCCATGTCCTCTCCTCTCTCACCACCAATATCTTATTATTCACTGCATTCAAAAAAATTTTTATCAGAACCTTTTTGGGTAAAGAAAAATTTATTTTCAAAAAGGTACCAACGCTTGCAACACAAAGACTTAGAAAAATAAACATTAAAAGAAATAGATGTCTATTAGTTGAAAATCATTTATTGCCTCTATAAAAGTTTAAATAAAAACCCTATGAAAGTTCACATTACAGTCTGATGTGATTTAAAGGTGATAGAATGTTTCAGAGGTAGTACCAGTAAAATTAGATGCAAGATTGCTAAAAGGAATTCTCAACAATTTAATGAAAAATAAAATTTCAACATGGAGCAATATATCTCAGTATACACTTTAATGGGACAATCATATTTCCGTGAAAATATCACTTTATTCTCTCCCCTTAGCAAACCTGCTCTTAACAGAGGTAAGTTCTGAGGATTGGTATTGACTGTAGGGTCACAAATGAGTCGGTTCCTCCATTTTATCATTACAGAACAGCTTGGTGAAGAGCTTGGTGAAGTGCTGTCTGCCAAGGATAACACTAACTTCAAAAATAAATCCACTTACTCATCTAGACATGATGGTACTAAAAATTCCTTTAGAAAGTTAATCTATTAGAATTTCAAATTTTTAGGACTTGAATGAAAATCTAATATGTTTTTTAAAAAATAGATAATATTCCTGGTATACCATTGCTGCAATGTGGAAGAAGCACAGATGTTAATGTTTTCAAAATCTCTCTTTAAAATAATAAGATATAATGTTAAAATAAAGAAATTATTCCTTGGAAATTGGTTGAATATCCCCACTCCCCAAAACAAGGCAACATAGTAAATATTAGAGTCTAGAATTCTTCCAAATGTACCACTTATGTTTCTTCCTACAAACATACAAACTATTGATTATAAAAATGTCTTAAAATAGGGGCCTCCCTGGTGGCACAACGGGTTGAGCGCAGCCCTGTGAAGCTGTCCTCAGCCCCTGCAGCACGGGTTCGATTCCCGGCCAGCCAGGGAAATTCCCACATGGCGTGGCACACCTCTCCTGTAGTGCCCGCTGCTCCCCTCAGCAGTGCCTTCAGTCCATCTGCCTGCTCTGCTCCCCACTCTGTCTCTGGTGAATCCTCTCACCCTCTCACGCCTCTGGACTGTACCCCAGCTATTGTATAAATAAAAAAAATTAAAAAAATAAATAATAATAAAAATCTCTTAAAATTGATGTTGTTGCCTTTAGAGAAATGGCCTCTTGGACAACTTTTGAGGTCTAGGGAGTTTTCAGAGCACTGGACATAATTGAACTGAAGCCTTTTCTTCTCCAACAATAACAAACAATTCCATCACATGATTCTAATAGTAGTACAAAAGTCCTGCTGTTGATAATTGACCTTATAATAAAAAGTCTCAAGGTTCATTGAAGAGGCAAATTTTCTTTTAACCTTTCTTTTGTATATGCTAATTTTCTTATTCTCCAGGATAACTGCAATTCTCATTTTCATGTGATTAAATTTAGCTTGGCTATAATGAGGAAGGTACCTTCAGATTTTTTTTTTTAAATACACATTTTGGAAGGCACTTGCTCTTAGATACACATTTCCTGCTTAAAAACAGCTTATCCATCCTACCCTCAAAGCAGATATTAAAGTATACTTAAAAGGAAAAAAAATTTACATTTATATCTGCTTTTGTGAGGGAGATGCTTTATATAGTATAGTCTGTTTTAATATTGTGTCAATCGCTAAAGAAAGAAATACTAGCTGTTTTGCTCCACTCCATCATGAAGATGTTCACAAAAGCAGCCATAAACTGGTATTTTTCTTGTGCTAAAGTGTCTCAGAGCCAATTCCATTCTGTATTTGTGAGAAAATATACTTTCTTCATAATAGATTTTAAGCACTTGACCTTGGGATCATTTTCAAACTCTATAGTGCATAATTTCATTTTGTCAATTATATTTTTCCCTGGATTCAGCTACCTCCTTTGATTTCTGGTATAGAACAAACATAATTCCATGTTAGAAGTCTCTTGTTTCCAATAATAGCAAAATAAATATTTATGGTGCTGAGACACAAATGGTCAGACAAAAAGATTCCTAAGTGTACTGTTAAGATATATGCAGTTACTGTTGTAATGAAACTTTAAATAGAAACAAGGAAATAATTTATGCTTCCTGTTAAAATTGTAGACTAACATTCCTTCTAGGAATAACACATAAAGAATCCTTAAATCTGTTAAAATTTATAATAAAATATTTTTATTAATATTCCTCAAAAGTTAAAAGAATTAATTTGTTTTGAAGTTTATGAATTGCTGAGGAGTTGAAATCTAATATTCCTACAGTAGGAGCCTATGAATAATTTTTTATTGAGGGATGAATTGCTGAGGTATGGCATACAATCCATAAAATTGAAAGATGTATTCCTACTTTGTAACAAGAAAAAATAAGAAGGGGCTTAAATTGAAGTGGAAGAAATTAGAGTTAAAATATAAACTCAATGATTAAGAAAGGAGGTCCTAGAAGAGACTTTAATTTGTTCACATTATCTTAAGGAATGGTTTCTATATTACTGTATATGGTAGGGACTCTTTCTCATAGAGGAATTGGTAATAGTAATAAATTTAATCATAATGTACAAGGTTTGGCAACTCAATGTTCCTTTCTCTGGATGGAATTTGACTTTTCAGCAAGTTGTACTAAATACTACAAAGAATCATAACTCTCAGTTTAAAGGCAGTATATCTAACCACTGAAATATTTCTGCTAACAGAAGAACCATAACAGTAGCATTGCAGCAATATTAAATCAAACAAACAGCTGGAAAAATGAAGGACTATCAATGAGCCTTACCTATTTGTGTGTTTCGGGAGGGGACATTTCAAGGTCAAAGACAGTTATGACTGTCTGCGCTCAAAAGTTGGTATCAGTGAATCTCAAGTTCAAAATTGGTTTTACTTCAAGTTACAAAAATATCTGACCCAGAAACTCCATGGCCAAAAAAGTTATCTATCCCCTTCATTAATCTTTTAAGTATAGATAGTAATTTAACTAAACAACACAATTCCACACTGCCAAGTCACAAATATATGACACTGAGTTCAGGAGAAACTGGTATTTTCCCTTGAATAAGTGTTGATAATGCCATCTGGTATCCCAGAAGAGAAGGTCTGTAAAAAATTTTCTACCACATATTGCCATTTGCTACCTAGTAATAGAACAAGTGGGTAATATGCTCATTTTAGGATTGTACTCAGCAGAGAGTTTCCAGAAAACAAAAAAAAGTGTAGATTACAACCAAAGTAGTGTAAGTATTTGAATATTATCCTTGGCTGATGGCTCTATACAAGCCTCACATGAACATGAGTTAATTTTTGTGACAAAGCTGAGTGACTAGATAAAAAACAATCTCAGTGGCTTACCTTAGAGTTCTGTTACATAAAATGTAAGAACTGAAAAAGTATTATGGAGATGATGATAGACATAATATTTGTGCAACACTTCATTGAACTCAGTTACACAAATTTACTAGTAGAATGTGAATCTTATCAATATTTTTCATTTGCAGAAATGAAAAATTCCCATTAAAACTAATCTTTTACAACATTTTTTTTCTGTACATTTAATAATTTATTTGACCTCATGTTGTTGAATTACTTTTCCATAATTCAAATTGTGGGCTAGATAATGGAAGGATACCAACAATTTACAATTATACACTAATAATCACTTCAATTTTTAATCATTAAATTAAGTCAAATTCTCATAGGGATTGAAAAATAAATCCCAGGACATATCCAGGTTAAATCTTCTTTAAAGTTTTGCTTTCACTTTTCAGTCCACATTCCTGAGTAAAAGTATTATGTGCATGATAAGAAAAGGAGAGAATAAGAAAGATGTAATGGCTACAAAAACAAGACTAAACAAGCTTCAGTAACTTGATACACAATGCTGAAATACCTTTATTTTTGTGCCTCTGGCCAAACTATTACTAAAACTAAGATTTTTCCATAAAACAAATAAAAATTTTTAGAAATTATACATTATGAATTTCATAGGTAAACTCCTCAAAATTAAATTTAATATTTTCCAGCGTTCCATCAGTTTGTAAAAAAAAAAACCTCTCAAATAATGCCTTTAAATATCACATACATTTTTTGCACTGTAGCCATTATATCTTGTCCATCTTTCACAAAATACATTGGTTTCAGCCATATGTTTTCAAACTGAAAAATTTCATGGCAACATTATGCAGTTATCTTGAAATGCCACCTGGTAAGCAGCCAAAAGGCTTTATCATATGTTCCCCTTTAAATCACAAACTGTCTGAGGCATTTTTCTCTGATAAAGAAGACACACTGAATGAGGTATCATCAGGCTCCAGTGAGGCATGACTGAAATCCATCTCTTCTAGTTCAGGAGGTAAATCTGACAGCAGTGCCTGAGTCAGAAAAATCAATTTTTTGAATTAGTATGTGGACATATTTTTTTCTAATTTCATGATAATAATTGTGGTCCACTAATGTTGATTTATTCTTATAGATTCAAAGAAAAGAGCACTTCTATTTCAGGATCTGATACAATATTTCACCTAAAAGAACAACTCTTCATACACTATTAAGTAACAAAATATCAGATCTTGAGAGTGTGGATTATGTAGAGTGGAACCCTGGACTAAAGAAAATCTGGAGGGAAATGAACAAGTATTTTGGACCAAGAGCTTTTAAGTATTTGAAATAGGTGATGTTCATACTAGTTTTGAGTGTTCACTGAAAGCTGCTAAAGTGCTTTAAAATTATATTACTTAATAAAATATTTCTGCTCCCTTATAGTGTCCTTTAGAGAAATCATTTCACAGACACTATTTTGTACTTCAGAGAGAGAAAGAACTTAAGCAGTTAGGAAAGAAGTTCAGCTATTCTGTTTTAGACTATAACAACTTGAAAAGGTCAAGTGAGTTTTCTTCTTTTCTTAGCTGTGCCCATATCTACAGATAGCCAAACATGCACTATGGGGCATGGCTGAACCAGTGAATCTAGCTGTGTAATAATTTATCTAGAGAGCTGCTCCTTTCTTTGCTATAGTAATTGGGATAAGCCAAGATCTGTGAATTAAGCTTTGCCATGGTATAATTATTTCATCTGGAGTTGCAGACCACGCATCCATGCTAGATAAATAAATAAGTAATCAAACTTTTTGTGACTGACAGTGTTGATGCCCACTTGACCATAAGAAATTACAAACTAAATGACTGATTTGCTGCTCCCAAAATTACAAACAATATATCATAACTGAGCAATATTTGAGCTGCTTCACTTGTAGAGCTAGTTTTGTGTGCAGCGGTCAATAAGGATTAAGTGAACAAGAATAAATAAATGCAAGCTTGTCAACATCCATTTAAGGAACAGAAAGACAGATCATGTCGAAGAACACATGAGATCAATTATTGTAATAGGGTAATATCCTATTCTCTTTATTAAAAGAGTGGCAGCTATAAATCCTATCCTATTAAATAGATCACAAACTTCTTGCTGAAATTTGGAGTATTTAAAAACAGTTAGTTAAAGGACTACATGTTATCTAAAGTCCTAGGTTGTAGTAATAGGACACTGAGCCATTTTCTTCTAGAACAGTGGTTTACTACTGTATCCAAGTGAAATAAAGCCTTTCCTGACATTAATTGATCATAGTCTATGAGATATACACCACTAGACTTAGTTCACTTTGCAATTGTGAAGAAGCCTTATTAAAGACGACAAGGTATTTAAATTAACATTCACTGACCTTGTGTTTACAATACTGGAAACTCAAGTAGATGAAGAGAGAAAGATAATCTAAATTATAGTTGGGAGATGCTCAACCCAGAGCAACACTATCATTTATATTTTTGTCTTTAATTTCATGTAGTTGACTAAAATGAGTGTAATATGAACTAGAAAACCTTGATGTCTGACGCAGTATAGATCACTACTAATGCATGAGGTCTACTTCAAAATTCTTCTTTTCAATATCTTACTGAATTTTAACATTGGCATACTCAAAAAAAACTTTGGATTTTCACAATTGTTAGAACTGTCTTTTTCATAGACACTGAAGGAAACATGCATTCTTGGTTGGATATAGGCAGTGAATTTTTGTATTTTTTAAATTCATTCATGAATAAAAATTATACAATTTATTTCTAATTAATGGTTACCTGTGACATAATACTTATATTAAATTTCTCTGACAAAGAATTAGCACAATAATATACAATTTAAAGGCAAATTTGGCATCATTTAGTGTTGAATGGAACATTAAATTCAATTCTGCAATCTTTTTTAGCAAGCTTAATAAATTACTAAGCAAATTTCACATGTAATGATAAGACCAAAAATGTAATTCGTGAGGAATTTGTAAGCAAAAATCCATAGCAACAAACAAAATACATTAGATTTCATCTTTGGGGTAAAGGAGTCACATACTCTACTTATATTGGGAAAAGTAAACAATCACTGTTGTCATAAAGAATTTCACATTTTCTTAGTGATGAATAATATATACTGTGAAATATAAAGTATTCAAAGATCTATGATCTTCAGTGAGGGCAAGCAATTAACTAAAATACAGAAAAGAGGCAAATGCCTTTACCTTGTTCATTCAAAAAAGGTCCCAAAATATGTGCTTCTCCAATTAGAGTAGCCCCATCTCCACAAACAATATGAAGAATTTCTTTAAACTAATTTTAAAATTATTTTTCCCTACTTAAGGCTAGCTTGGAATTAACAAAGTATGTTAATCAGTTATTTTGATTTCTCACTAAAGCAGCACACAAATCTGAATATCTATTCTCAATAATACTGTGCTAATAAAAGGTCATGAACTAACAAATACTTCCTTCATGTCAACCAACAATGAAGTGTAAAAATGAAAAAACAAAAAGAACTCATGTGTGACATACCATTTTCAACATGATACATTACTAGTCATCTTTTCTAGCACCTACCTGCTGTTGTTCTTTATCATCAGCTTTCATTGCTAGTATCAAGCTTCTAACAAATGTCTGAAGCTTAAAGTATTTTTGTTTCTGAATTTCTAGCTCATTTTCAATGAATCTTACTTCTTCATTCTGAAGGAGAAAACAGCAAACAATACAATTACCCTCTACAAACCTGGACTGTACATGTTTGATGCGCAATATTTTTTTTTAAATCCACAAATTGGAGGAGAAGAAAAGATTAAATTTTAGCAAAAGAAATATAAAATTTGGAAGATTATCTTGTTACTACAAGGCTAACTTTAAAGAAATCACCAACAGACAACCATTTTCAAGGTCAAAAATTCAATTTAATAAATTCCAGTAAGAAAAAAAATTCAACAAATGTTTCCCTTCTTGGAAATATTCCACATACATTAAACTAGTTAGCACTTAGATAGGGATTAAGACTAGACAGGGTTCAATGAGCCCCAAGTAAAGAGCAATAGCAGATGTAGTAATACACCGAATGTACCATTCCCAAAACCAAATACTGAGAACTGAAAAAAAGTTTATCATTTTTTTAACCAAGAAGAGACTGAATTTATTACTAAAACTTTAAGATTTCTACTGCCCTCCAACCTGTCTTAATATAGGAGTCTGTTATTCAGACTATATCTCCAAATGCATCACTGTGTACCATTGATTGAAAACCAATCTCTCTCCATTATTTTTGTTAGTTGTGTAGGAAAAGAACAATACACTAGAAATTGGCAGCATTTTTGTGCCAGGTTTACTGGCAATTGTGTTAGCCAGTGTAGCTCAATCAAGCTCTCTGTGACTGTCCACCCATCAGTAAAATAAATTAATACTAGTGCTCTTTGGCAGTTATAGTCTCAACTAAGAGAATGGTCATGAAAATGTTCTCAATAGATTTACTATTCAAACTATAGTAATTGAGAAATTGTGGTAATGGCAAAAGAGCATATAAATCAATGGAACAGAAAAGATATACGAATATAGCAGAGTCCAAAAATATATATAATTTATAAACACATAGATTATACTTATATATCAACCAGTTTATTTCAAAAAACATTGGTTGAACAATTGAAATCCATACTTCCCCACAAAGAAAATAATATCAACCCTTAAACTTACATCACATACAAAATATATTAAGAAATGGGTTATAAACCCAAGTGTAAAACCTAGGATTATAAAATTAGAGGAAAACAGAGAAGTGAATTTTTGTGTCCTTCAGTTAGGCAAAAATTTCTTAATAGCACAAATAAAGCACGAAACTTAAAGATGTCATCAAAATAAAAACCTTTGCTCTTCAAAAGACACTTAAGAAAAATATAAACTACATATTGCAAGAAGATATTTTGAAATCATGTGTAAAGCACTCACTTTCAGAAAATATAAAGAACTCTTACAACACAATTATAGGACCAATGACAGAATAACAAGGCGGCAAAATATCTGAAATATATACTTCATAAAAAAAGGTACATGAATAACCAATAATCACATGAAAAATGCTTAATATTATTTCTCACTAATGAAATGCAAATGAAATCCACAGTTAGATACTACTACTAACATAATACAATGGCTAAAATTAAAGAGACTGACAATAGTAAGTAGTGGTAAAAACGTGGAAAAAATTGAAGTCTTATTTATTTGCTGGGAGTGTAAACAGTACAGACCTTTTGAAAATGTTTAGGAAACACTTAAAATGTTTTGGCAGATTCTTACAAAATTAAACATACTCTTTCTTACCATATGACTCAATAGTACTACTCCTTTTTTTAATTGAGGTAACTGTTTTTTGTGTTTTAGAGGTATAAGATCTTCCCCTTAAGGTATTGTTTCCACACCACACCCACCAGCAAAACATGCACACAGTCATCTTAAGTGTTTACCCAAAGAAAATGAAAACATATACCCACAAAAAGACACACATGAATGTTCATAGCAGTTTTATTCATAATAGCCAAAAACTGGAAACAACACAAGTCTTCATGAGGAGGTAAATAAATTTGTGGTCATAGTAACACAACTGTGTACAACTCACCTAACTACATAAAGAGGTGAATTTTATTGCATGGAAATTATATTAATCCAAAAACATGATTAAAAATAAAAAAACATTAAAGGAGACTGCAGATCTTGTAAACTTAATAACTTTAATTAATTAAGCTGAATTATTTTAAAAAAACAATAAATTATTAGTCAACCCCTTGCCAAAAATCATTAAAATAAATTATGAATATTCTCCATAGTTGGAGAGCTGGTGTGAAAGAATACAGTAGGAACTGTAGCAAAATTTGTTCAAAAAGTTATGCAAAATATATTAAAATTAGTTAATTCTATGGCTATGCTTATTTCAATTGAGAGGAGGCAGTTGCAGTAATCACATTAAATTTATGAATGTGTTCATTGTTTTATCAGCTCATTTTAGAATGTATTATACCTAATAAACCTGTTTTATATACAGACCCATTAATATCAAGTCAATCATCTGCAAATGATAATTCAAGGTAAATTCCTTATGCAGAGGCGTACTACAGCAATCTAAGTTACAAGCAAGTACTATAAAACAATTCAACATGTTTCTGCCACAATGCATTAGAATAATTCTAAAGTTTATCTTTTTTTAGTATTCATTGTGAGAGCAGTATTAGTGAATTACTGACCAGGAAGTCTTTTTCAAGAACACAGGAGATATCTACCATCATTAGTTGTAGTGTCTCATTTGAATGCAGAGTCCTTTTGAGCTGCACTCACAATCCATTAGAAAAAAAATTTAAAGACATTAATTCACATTTGCAAAAGTCAGAAAGAATCTTTTAGGATTCGGATATTTAATTTCTCATGCGTAAATTCCTCCTCTTCAGTATTTATGCAATGTTTGGAAAATATAAACAGCCTTAAGAAAATTAATTTGCACACATTTTCTTCTTAGAGCTCCTTTTGCAATCCTATTAAACACTTCCTAGATTATAAGCAGCAATTTATGTATACTTTAGTGATTTTTTTACATAAATGGAATGCTTGTGAGAGGAACTAGAAAAATAATATCAGCTACTGAATTTCACAAAACGAAATTTAAACTCATTTTTCTTGTTAAAATCTTCCCTACATTCCCAATAAACTTTGTCAATTCTCCAAGATAATTGTAGGGAACACTTGAGACTTCACCTGTACTAGAGTTTTGATCTCCAAACAGGCTATCACTGGCTGCCAAACCTAAGGTGTTATTTTATGAAAGTTACTCATGTTCAGGGAATGAGCACACCAACTTGTCTCATAAGCATGTTGGGTTAATTAGAACTCCTAGAAATATGGATTTTTAGCAAAATGTCTCAATCAGAAGCTCTACTACGCCCAGACTTAATACTGATGGTTGCATACTAATATTTCTCAGATGCATACAGGAAACATTCTTACATTTTGCTACAATGAATCCCAAGAATAATGGGAGACTCTTGTATAGGAAAAATTGTATAATGATCCAACTTCTGATCTTAATTGATTTTATATAAATGGATATTTGCATAATAGTATAAAAAGTACTAGCAAGAATAAATTAATTAATATATCCACTCACTCAGAAAGTAATTACTGAACATTTGATCAAGAAACACAGGGATGAGTAAGTCTCTTCCTTCAAGAACTTTATGATAAATATACCTGAGAAACTAACAAAGTGATTTTGATCTCAAAACAGGAATATTAGCATGTGTACTCAAATAAAGCATAACTGTTCACTGAAGAAAAATTAAATTTTTATACTAATACAGTTGTTTTAAATGAGCATCCTAAAATCAGCAATCAGAACTGATATGAGGTTTCCTGTAGCCTTTCTTTAGCATTAAATTCACAGATGGAGGGAACTGATGATTATAAAAAGATGTAATTTCTATATAGGTGTTGGTTTTTGAAAGTTAATAAGAAATTTATGTAGGATGGTCATGTGTTAAAAACCTCCCTAAAAGGAAAATGAAGGACCATTTTTCTCACAGCATTTATCACAATGGAAAACACTGCATCATTAAGTATCTTTTAGAGTACAATGGAAATGTTAATAATCATTTTGTGATTGTATATTTTGCCCTAACCTAATCTTCAGCCCTAAATTCTGCTCAAGTAGGCTGCCACTCAGAAGGGTAAGGTCCTGGAAAGAATCCTGAGTTATGGATCCAACAGTATCTGACCTGCTTGGGTACTAAGTGGAACATTTAAAAACTGCAACTCTGCCCTTTCATTTGTACTTTCCATTGTTTATACCAACTGGTGGTTTGCAGAAACATTTTAATCCTTTGCTGGGCATTTAGAAATATTATATGTCCATGCAGGAGAAATTAGAAATCTATTGTGCTCCAGAATCAACTTTATAATTCTATTAGTTGGAAATACAGTTTAAGTAGTGGAATGCATTTTGCTCTTTGACAAATTAGCAAATAAATTTCAAAAGATAGTTTCCTTCTGTATGGACAGTGTTCACTATTTTAAAGTTTGACATGTTATGAGCATTTGGAAAACAGACTGTTGAATGACATAACTTTCAATTATAGTAAAACTGAAAAGAATTTTGGGAAAATGACAGCTGCTATCTTTTCTGAATAAATGTTATTTTCTCTTAACATTTATTACTGGTTTCTGCTTTGAACACTTATGATATTCCAAGAAAAAAATCTGTGTATGGAAAAACATGACTGTATGGCTAAAATTTCAGAAAGTACCCAACTTACCTAGTAAATTTGTATACTTCTTAACAAATGAATAGCACTTACACATATGTTCAGTAAACAAACTGACACATAGACTGATAGTTTATGTCAAAATTTAATAAAAACAAAATTATGTATAGCATGCTGTCAAAGTTAGCCTGTCAATTTAGTAAGAAATGACATTCAGAAAAGGTCAACTCTTTTTATATTCATCTGATACTTGTTTTAGAGATTGTTTTGAAACATCTCCTAAAATAGCTATATTATATTTAAAAGAGGTCTTCAGAAGTTACAATTAAAAAGATAAAATTGGCAAGGACCACTGGAAAAAAATCTTCCCTTTACCACAATTCAAAAGTGAACATGGTGGAGAACTATGAGTGCCTTGGTGGTGGGTGTGGTATGGTAACATACATCCAAAGAAGTATGAACCTACACCCCTAAATCATATAGTGTTGTAAACCAATATTAATTCAATAAAAAATAATTCAGTAAAAAGAAATTTTAAAATACTAATTGACACAAAGTTAAAAAATATTCTGCTATTATAAAATGGAGGAGTGCTAACTCAAAAATGAAAGAGTCTTGGACAAAAAATAAACACTGACTTTAAAATAAAAGAATTTCATATGTTTCACATTAACCACCACTATTAACTGCTCTATTTTGCCATGCTCTGTCAATATCTACTCCTGCTCAGCCAATTTTTTTGTTTCCTTTTCTTTCTTCATTTTTTTAATATTTATTTTCCTACATCATTGTTAATTTTTGTACAGTATTTGACTTCACCTCTCAGATATATTCCCCATATTTCTCCTACCAACATAGCCCCAGTGACCAATCTACCCAGTCCATTGTGCTCTTCTCCCTCCCCTTTTTTTTTTTTTTAAAGATTTATTTTATTTATTCATACAAGCACTGGGTACAGTCAGAAGCACGGGAGGGTGAGAGAATTCACCAGAGCCAGAGCGGGGAGCAGAGCAGGCAGAAGGACCGAAGTACACTGCTGAGAGGAGCAGCAGGCGGCAGGAGAGGTCTGCGCGCCATGTGGTACCCTCCTCCGGTGGCCGGGGAGCAGCCGGGGATTGAACCGGCGCTGCAGAGGCAGCGGGCAGCTTCGCAACCCAGCGTTCAACCACTGCGCCACCGGGGAGGCCCTCCCTCCCCTTTTGATTCCTCTCTTTCCTCCCTCCCCTGCTCTATGCCTCAGATTTATGGTCAGCTTGCAAGTTTTGTTATTTTTCCTAACACTTTGTTCAGTTTCTCTATATTCCGCATATAAGTGGGACCATGTGATATTTATCTTTTTCCTTCTGACTTATTTAGCTTAACATAATCCCTTCCATCTCCATCCATGTTGCTGTAAATGGCATGAGTTTATCTTTTTTGATTGTTGAGTAGTATTGTATTGTGTATATATAGCACAGTTTCTTGATCCATTCATCTATTTTGGGGCATTTAGTTTATTTCCTTGTCTTGTCTATTGTAAATAGTGCTGCAATAAACATAGGAGTGCAGGTTTCCTTTTTAATTATTGTTTTTGTGCCCTTTGGGTAGATTCTTAGAAGTGGAATCATTAGGTAATATGGTACATCCATTTTTAGTGTTTTCAGGAACCTTCACACAGCTTTCCATAGTGTCAGCCAACTCTCTACTTAAAACCATAAACACTAAAGCAGCCAGCATTAATTAAAATGCCCGGTACCTTGAGTGGTATTCAAATTGCCTGAGACAGTCAAAACAGACACCCGGGATGTTTAATTTACCAAGAAGAAATGAAATAAGTAAGTTATGGGTACTATAAAAATCTGCCTCATTTATCATCTTCCTTTATAAATACAGAATTTGAAATTGCCTTTACCTTATAATCCAAGAGAGAATTCACCTGTTCTACTTCAGAATTACTTATCATGTCACTTTCTTCATCATCAAGAATTTCTATTTTCTGTAACACACAAGAGGTTTTTATAAACATGTCCGATCATCATATTTTCACTCAACTGAACATATACAAATTGAAAATATACATATTCAGCTTATGTATTCAATTTAGTGATGGGATTATCTAGACTAAGTAATTCAGAATAAATTCTGATAAGTCACCTACTCAATGTTAACTTCAGTGTGTGACTTAGCAAATTCCCTCTACTATTAACTGATGACTGCTTAGTAACTAGTAACTTATCTTAATACATTTAAAGTAGAAAATATAATATATTCTTTCACAATATCCCTGAAAAAAAGGGACATTCAAATTCTACTTAAATTTAGTGCCCTCCAGTGACAGGGAATTTACTTTCTATAAGGTTGGTATACTTAATGGTAAGCATATCTAATTGGTAGAAGGTGTTTTGTAAATGCCACATTTAAAAATTTCTAATGTAAAATGTCAAATTATGGCATACATTACAATATTACATACATTTTTTTAAAAATTCACTTATTTAATGCACTTCATTAGCTAGAGAATTGGAAGCAGACATTTATTACATAATAATATGGCAACATGTTTCCATCATTGGGCAGTACAGGGGGTGGAGAGGAGAGAGAAAGAGAGAGAGAGGGAGGGGGAGGGAGAGAGAAGCTAAACTTAAGGTGCAGTATAGTTTATAAAATATCTTGCACACAGTAGGTACTAATTAAATATCTATCACATGAATAAACAAAACGGCTTAGCACTGAAGGAAAGAATGACCAATAAGCTGCAAACATGAAAGCAAGGTAAGTTCTTTAATCATGGAAACTTGACTTTAATAAAAGCAAAACCAAAAGACAAAATCAACTGCAAATTTATCTTCTGCATATGAAAAACACTTCTAAACATTTAAACTCTGTCAACCTCCCCAAAATTTAAAAACTAAAAATTAAGCTTGAGTTAGTCACTAGTCAATCTTTTAAGAATGAGCACAATAATAGAAATATGTCATAGGCAGAATTTGAAATTGAGTTTTCTAGTCAGCAAAATATGTGGTAATTAAAAGTCACAAACAGATATGGAATGATTCTATTTGATATATTACTTATGAGTACATGATACCAAAACCCTGTGACCTGCAGAGTTCTGAGCCAAGAGAACAGCTGCAACAAAATTGCTATCTACTGCTGCCTAGAGATAAATCTAATGTATTGTTTTCTACTATAATCACCATAAACTTGGGGTTTAAATGTGTTGACAATAATCAAACCTCAAATGCACTTTGTTTGATGTTGTCTTTTAGATTCTCTACCTTTTTGAATTGGTTTTGGGAAAAAAAGAGCTGAACAACCCATGGCATGAAGTTATATGCCACTGTAAAGATTTGCGCACATAAATAAATCGTATATGTCTTGGTGATTTGCCATGCACAAACAACTGGGGGCATTCAAAAGTTACAGGCAGAATGTATCAATCTTTGAACGTTTGGAGTTTTGTCTCTGTAAATCAACTGCCCTTGAACAATTAGGTACTTAAGTGATTTTGAGTCACCCAATACCATGACTTCATTCATTATCTTCAAATGTCTGCTGCAGGAGAGATCAATGCAGAGAAATTCAGGTAAAAATGAGCATGTCGGGGGCCTCCCTGGTGGTGCAAGGGCTTAAGCACAACACTGTGAAGCTATCCGCAGCCTCTGTTGCACAAGTTCGATTCCAGGCCAGCCAGGGAGCTACCCACACGACCCAGCAGACCTCTCCTGTCTCACCCGCTGCTCCCCTCAGCAGTGTATTTCAGTGGATCTGCCTGTTCTGCTCCCCATTCTGTCTCTGGTGAATCCTCTCACACCTCCACACCTCTGGCCTGTATCCCAGTTCTTGTGTGCATAAATAAGTAAATCTTTAAAAAAATAAAAATAAAAATGAGCATGCCATGGGGGCTCAGAACTCTGCAGGTCACAGAGTTATGGTATCATGTACTCATAAGTAATATATCAAATAGAATCATTCCATATTTGTTTGTGACTTTTAATTACCATATATTTTGCTGACTAGAAAACTCAATTTCAAATTCTACAGCGGGTTGAGTGCCATGCTGTGAAGCTGTCCGCACCCTCTGCAGCATGAGTTCAATTCCTGGCCGGCCAGGGAGAAACCCACATGGTGTGGCAGACCTCTCCTGCCTTGCCTGCTGCTCCCCTCAGCAGTGAATTTCAGTAGATCTGCCTGTTCTCCTCCCTGCTCTGTCTCTGGTGAATTCTCTCACCCTCCCGTGCCTCAGACTGTACCCCAGTTCTTGGATAAATAAATAAATCCTTAAAAAAATGAGCATGTCATTAGGGGAAGGTTGTTTCAATTTTTAAATAATTGTACGTAATTTATATAATTCTAGTTTACTGAAGAGGACATTATTACTTGGTGGAATTTAAGAATGTCAGCACGATTAATTCTAGAAAACCATTATTGTTCATTATCTAATGAAAACATGATTTTGCCTGGAAAGCTTGTTTTCCTATATGCATACTGAATTTTGTGTCAGAAGGGTTAAACATGAGCTTAATTCAGAACTGAATTCATACAAAGCAAATCTAAACCATATTCTTCCCGTGGAAAACACTGTTATATATCATTGATGTTTAACATGAAAAAATGGAACTGTATATTATTTGCTCAACTTTCATTAAGGAGATGTGGCAGAGTTATAGTTTCAGATAAATAATGCTTGCAATAGAAGCCATGATAAATCTCAAAGTTACAGCCATTTTTTAACAACAACAAAACAGAGGGGCCATTTTTGAAGGTTGCAATCAAGCACAAAACACTTATTCAAAAGCAAAAGCACAATAACATTTGTGTTTATGATTGACTTATTACATTTTTATTTCTGTATTACTTAATACTGTCAAAATGTAAATAGATGCTTCTAATGTAGCTGCTTAGAGAATATCTCTATATACCAAAAATGTTGACTTTTTCACAAAACTCAGTTTAATTCATACACAGTCATTATTCAGTTGCTTCATGCTGTCTATACTCCACTACGATTTTTAAGATGACTAGAAGAGTCCAACTTAACTAGAAAGAAGAAAATTTTCCAAACACAGTATGGATAGGTTTGGTCTGAACAGAGAACCTGGAGTCAGGAATCCTTAGAGAAAAGTCCCAGAACTAACAAAGGCTTCTTTCATAATCTCGGGTTAAATTCTTTTTTAATCTTGCCATTTGTCAAATGAGAAGAAATCTGCTTGTTCCTAAATGTGTTGAATAAAAATAGCTTGTTATGTACAAAATGTCCTATGTGTAGTAAGCATTAGGCTTTTATATTCGCAAAGCTCCTATATATATAAAAAAAAAAACCTTCAAATGACAGCTCTATAAATTTCATTTATTATATCCTCAAAGATATACAACTTCATTGACAACAGCTCTGCTTTCACTTCTGAAGCAGAACAATACTTTATTCTGACAATGCTTACATTGCTACCAACTGGAAACCTTATCACTGAAATCCATCATGTAATGAGGAAATAATTTCAAAAAATACATACCACATTATCTGTGGATACTGCATGGTGGTCCTCCTCCTTATGAGCCCTTGCCTCATTTGGAACAATTTCAGTAGACTCTTCTGTAGAAAAAAAGTGGTTTAACTTTTTTCATTTCTGAGCACATTGAGAATGTTTATTTTTAGATCACTTAGGTATCAATTTCTACTATAAAAGCACACAAATAAAAATTCATTTTATATATGATTTGGAGAACAATTCTACTTCTAATGTATTACAAGAAAATATGTGTGGATGGGTACAAATACAAGGATGGAAAGCAAGGTGAAATTTATAATTAAAAAAATGTAAGCAACCCATATGCTTAAGAATTGAGGATTCAATCTATCCCTGCAATAAATGTTATGAATCCACTACACCTGAAATAGAATAGCTTTTTATTATTATTGAATTTACTTAATTATTTTCTCACATTGTTGTTAATTTTTGTGCAGTATTTGATTTCGCCCCTCAGGTGTAGCCCTCATAGCTCTCCCAACAACATAGCACCCTGTTATAAATATCTCAGTTCCATTATATCCTTCCCTCCCCTGTTTTGACCCCTTCTCTTACCCCTCCCCTGCTGTATACCTCACTCAGATCAATGGTCAGCTTGCAAGTTTTGCCTTTATCCTGACCCTTGGTTCAGATTCTCTATATTCCACATATAAGTGAAACCACCTGATATATATCTTTTTCTTTTTGACTTATTTTGCTTAGCATAATCTCTTCTTACTACATCAACATTGCTGCAAATTGCATGAGCTTATCTTTTTGGATTTCTGAGTAGTATTCCATTCCAGTATATATACCACATCTTCCTGACCCACTCATCTGTTTTGGGGCATTTGGGTTATTTCCATACCTTGGCTATTGTAAATAGTGCTACAGTAAATATAGGAGTGCAGGTTTTCTTTCAAATTAGTATTCTAGTGTCCTTTAGGTAGGTTCATAGGAATGGAATCTCTGGGTCTCATGGTATATGTGTTTTTAATGTTTTCAGGAAACTCCACACAGCTTTTATAGTGGCCGGACAAGTTTACAGTCCCATGAGCTGTGTAAGAGTTCCTTTTTTCTCCACATCATCCAACATCATTTGTTGTTTTTAGTTTTACTAATATGGGCATTCTCACAGGTGTGAGCTGTTATCTCATTGTAGTTTTGATTTGTTTTTCTCTTATAATAAGTGATGTTAAACATTTTTTTCATGTTTTTTGGCCATTTGTATTTCTTTTCAGTTCTTCTGCCTGTCTTTTTAAAAATAATTTTATTTTATATAGTTCTTAATCATTTTTCATTTTTGCATAATGTATGCATTTTCATTTTGGTTATATTCCCCATACAATTTCCACCCCCTTTTTCTGACCCTAATCCCTCTTCTCTGTCCCCCACCTCCCCACTGTAGTGTGACTCTGGTCTATTGTTGCTTGTTGATTTTGATTTTTATTTATTGTAATGAGTCTTTTTCCTGGTCTCTTATATAGGTTTTCTAAATTCCTGCTTTGACTGAGACCATCCAGTAATTTTCTTTTTCTTTCTGGCTTATTTCGCTGAGCATGATCCCTTCCAGCTCCATCCATGTTGCTGCAAATTGCATGAGTTTATCTTTTTTGATTGCTGAGTAATATTCCATTGTGTATATGTACCACATCTTCTTGATCCAGTCATCTATTTTTGGGCATTTGGGTTGTTTCCATAGCTTAGCTATTATAAATAGTTCTTCTGCCTGTCTTTTGACTGGGTTGTTTGCTTGTTTATGCTGAGTGGTGTAAGCTCTTCGTAGATTTTTGATATCAGTCCCTTATCAGTTGTATGGTGTCCAAATATTTTCTCCCATTCTGTGAGCTATTTGTTTTGGTTACTATCTCTTTTGCTGTACAGAGCTTTTTAGTTTAGTTTCATGTAGTCCCAACTGTTTATCTTCTCCTTCATTTTTCTTGCTTATGGAGATGAGTCCTCAAAGATGTTTCTAAGGTTTATGTAATGTAATGTTTTGTTTTGTTTTGTTTTTTACAAGAACCGGGGCACAGGCCAGATGCACAGGAGGATGAGAGGATTCACCAGAGACAGAGTAGGGAACAGAAGAACAGAACAGGCAGACTGATCAAATACACTGCTGAGGGGAGCAGTGGGTGCGACAGGAGAGGTCTGCCGAGCCATGTGGGACCCTTGCCAGCTGACCGCGATCGAACTGGCGCTGCAGAGGCTGCGGACAGCTTCATAGTGCAGTGCTCAACTGCCTGTGCCACCAGGGGAGGCCCATGTAATGTAATGTTTTACCTATGTTTTCTTCTATTTATTTTATGGTTTCAGGTCCTATTTTCAAGTCTTTTCTACATTTTTAGTTGTTGTTGTTTTTGTGTTTGTATGTGTGCTGTGTTAGAGAGTAAGCAAGTTTCATTTTTTTGCATGTGGCAGCCCAGTTTTCCCAACAATATTTTTCAAAGAGGCATTCCTTTTTCTAGTGTATATTCTTTAGTACTTTTTCATAGCTTAGTTGACTACATATGTGCGATTTTATTTCTGGGCTTTCAATTTTGTTCCATTGGCTGCGTGTCTGCTTTTCTTCCAATAACATGCAGCTTTATTATTATGGCTTTGCAGTATAGTTTTCAGTCTGGGAGTGTAATACCTCTGTTCTTTTTCCTTTTAGTCAGGAAAGTGCTGGCTATTCAGGGTTAGATATCAAGCTAAAAAAGGTGACAAGAGACATAGGTGGACACTGTATAATGATGAAGGTGACAATACACCAGGAAGACATAACACTCATCAATATATACTTACCAAATGAGGGAGTACCAAAATATATTAGCAGTTACTATTGTTATGGGGCAACCCCGATATAAAACGGGCTGCCTGGCTGTGGGTCCTCACCCGCGCGCTTAAAAGGTACTTATGAATACTCCACTACAGACACACACAAAAGGTTAATAAAAGGTTTATTTACAAGGGAAAGGAATTAAGGAAATGTACAACTCAGGGAGAAAATAGGGAAATAAAGTCTTTAATGCGTCCTACCCCATCCGCTAACCTGGAAACCCAAAGACACTCTCAGAGCTGGCCGGACACTGCGAGCTGGCGGAGAGCCAAAATGGGGGACCCCTTCAAAGCCCACATGTCTGGCTTTATACCAAACCTGGCTGCTTAACCCCACCCTCAGGTCCCAGCAACCTTCCCTTTGGTGGTGATGGGATTTGGAGTTCCCAGTGTCTTTTGGTTTTGGTCTGGAGTGGGGAGTGGAGTCCACAAAGCCTGTATGGAATTAGATTTAGGACATCCTTTTCCCCCTAACACTATCATCTATGAAATTAGATATAAGTGGTAGGAGACTTCAACACCCCACTCTCACAAATGAATAGATCAAGGAGACAAAAAAATAAAGATAAAATGGCCCTAAATAAAGATCTAGAACAAATAGGTCTAACAGACATGTATAGGACACCGTGCCAACAAAAACCCAAATACACATTTTTCTCATGTGCACATGGATCATTCTCCATAATGGATCACATACTGAGTCACAAGACAAGCATCAACAAGTGCATGAAGATTGAAATCACACCGAGAATCTTCTCTGACCATAAAAGCATCACACTAAAAATCAACTATGAAAAGAAAGCAAGGAACTGCCCCATTACAAGGAGACTGAACAACACACTACAGAAAGACCAGTGGGCTAATGAGGAAATCAAAGAAGAAATTAAAAAATACCTTGAGACAAATAAAAATGAGGACACAACATTTCAGTATGTATGGAACATACCAAATTCAGTATTAAGAGGAAAGTATATAGCAATACAGGCCCACATCAGGAAACAAGAAAGAATCCTAACAAACTAAACTCCTATCTCAAGGAACTACCGAAAGAACAACAAAAACCCCAAAAACCATTTGAAGAAAGGAAATAAAAAATTAACACAGAAATAAATGAAATAGAAATAAAAAATAGTCCAAAAGATCAATAAAACCAAAAGTTGTGGGCCTCCCTGGGGATGTAGGGGTTAGAATCAGTGCTGTCACTGATGGACCAAGTTTGATCCCTGTTGAAGGAGCTAACCCACATGGTACAGCAACCTCTCCTGTCTTGCCTGGTGCTTCCATTAGCAGTGTATTTCAGTGGATCTGCCTGTTCTGCTTCACACACTGTCTCTGGTGAAACCTCTCACCCACCCTGCACCTCTGGCCTACATCCCAGTTCTTCTATGCAATAAATAAATAAATATCTTTTTTAAAAGTTGGTATTTGAATAAACAAAACAGAAAAACCTCTAGTTAGGCTCACAAAGCAAAAGAGGGAGAAAATTAAAAAACATAGGATCGTAAATGAAGGAGGAGAAATTACAATAGACACAGAAGTTTCCAGAGGAAAATTAGAGATGACTATGAACATTTATATGCAAACAAGTTCAACAATATAGATTAGATGGACAAATTCTTAGAATTATGCAATCACCTAAAGCTGAGTAAAGAAGAAATAGAAAATTTGAATAAACAAATTACAATCAGGGGAATTAAAACAGTAACCAAAACCCTCCCAAAAAACAAAAGCCCAGTACCAGATCGTTTCTAGAAGATAATTCTACCAAATGTTCAAAGATGAACTGGTGCCTATCCTCAAAATTTGAGAAAGAAGGAATACAACCAAATACATTTTATAGAACCAACATTATACTAATACCAAAACCAAACAAAGAAAACACAAAAAAAGAAAACTACAGGCCAGTCTCCCTAATAAACACAGATGCCAAAATCCTCAATAAAATTGTAGCAAACCAAATCCAACAATGTATCTAAAGATTATACACCTTTGATACCGGAATTGTCAGGCCTAGTCTCCCAGCCAGGAACTGATCCCAGGCTGCAGGGCAGCGCTGAGCCCCGGCCACTAGACCCCCACGGTTGGTGTCTCACGAAGCCGCAGCAGGAACTTCTCAGACGCTCAGGCAAGCAAGCGAGAAGAGCAGATTTGTTTAGAGAAAGAAAACGTTTATTGAGGAGAAAAAGAACAGAAATAAAGTGGGACTCCCAGGCCAGGGAACCAGGCCTGGAGGGCAAGGAAGCCAAAGTGGAGTTGTGTCTTAGGG